AACCACGCTACGCTACCATGTTGGAATATGAGGAAAAAGGAGACAAATTACGATCTGCTTACGAACTGGTTTATTCGTCGCCCATCGCTGGGGCGGTTATCAACGCAACTGACAAAAACGATATTGAGGATTGAAGATTCACAAACAGGAAAAGTTACATAATCATTGAGGTCGATGCACGATATAGATTTAGATAAGTCAACATACACGCATCAAGAAATTCATATCAAGATTTACCTACATGCATTGAGAGAACATTCCATTTCTGAAATCCATTTTGGTCAAAAAATCATCTATTGACTCCTCGATTTAAACGATAAAAAAAAGTATGCCACAGACCCATTGAACACACTGCTACTTTAAGGGGATTTATTAAGCATAAGTTCCTTTTTTCTGTTACCCTGTTCATTCAATCCTCATATCTTTAAAAGTGTATCCATAAAATTCTGTGATGATATCCTAATTTTATCTTCCAATGTTAAGAGTCAAATGGGTTGGATCTCCATTTTGGTGAGTTATCCAGAAAGAAGGGGAAAACAGTCATGTCAAGATCTTACGTCGATAAAAAAATTGACACCTCACGTCAACATGATACCTACATTAGAGATATTGCGGTGGAAGTAATGTAAGGAATCCTACAGGCCATAGATGAAAAAAAGGAGGTGTTTGCATTTCGGGCATCTTGGAATTTTTTGATGACTTGATGACGTAGGTGGGTACAGCGACGTTTTTATCCTGTCGATTTTCTTGGAAATGGTGTAATTTAAGGAAAAAAGTCATTCTATAAAAAGTGCTTGAAATTATATAATGAGTTGATTTAAGTAAAAAAATCGGACATTATGGCCCGTTTTTCATATTTAGCTAAACGTCGCTGTACCCACCCACGTCATCAATGCATCAAAAAATTCCAAGATGCCCGAAATGCAAACACCTCCTTTTTTTTCTCTATGCCTACAGGCTAATTGTTTTTGCTACAATACCTAACTCAAATCGATATGCCAATATTCGGGTGGATTCATAAATTAATTATCAAATTATATTGATAACCAGCATGAGCCCCGTACCAGGCATTAGTTACCGATGTAAACATAACATAAAATTTGAGTTTTCAATTGCTTTAAAGATAGGCCAATAGGAACATCGAGTTTTTATTATGTTTTTGTTGACAATCATACTGGGCGTCCTTAAAGTCCAGTCAACCCCCTCTAAAATTTTACCTACCTCATATTTTAAGAAGGAACTTCAGACACGTTCATGGATGTAAGCTACTTTGGGGCCCCCTAATATTCTCTATTACCTCCCGCAGGAGGGGGCTTTGGACCCCAACTTTCTTTTTTGTATGGCTACCCTGCCTTCAGTCCACTCAATCTAGCTTTATACCTTGGACAGATTAGCACAAACTTTTCCATTGGTATATCGAGTTTCCAGGTACTTAATAAGACAGAAAGTAAAGTTTACAGAAAAATTCCGTCTGGAAAGTGGTCAAATCGCAGTTTTTCTACAATGCGTCCTACGGCGATTTTCAAAAAGGACCTATGAACAGTTTTTCCTTCATAACTCCAAAAGTATGCGCCCAAGAAAAAAATGGTTAAAGATCAACTTTAAAGATCATAAAATTTTAGTTAAGAATTATTTTCAAACTTTAGACGTTTGTTATTTTTTCGCTCCGAATTTTGCTATTTGAAAATAACAACCGGCAAAATCGCCTGAAAATCAGCGATTTTTCGCGTTCCTGACTAATTTTAGGACAAAATAAGTATCTGCGGTTTACATCAACGACTTCACTGGAAAGTACGGTAAATTTTTCTGAAGAACATTCATTCATGTCACCTTTTTATTTTTTATGACCTTATTGTGAGACGAATCATTCAAAAGCATCAAGACAATATTTCACAACAAATTCAGATTTTTTCCCCGTTTCCAGCGCTTTCGATCAATTAGTTTTCGACAAAAGCATAACTTTTATATACTTTTAAGAAAAGTGATGAAATTTTGAAGACGAATACAACACTGGTTTTCCATTAAATTTCACAGGACGTAACTGAAAAGCGTGTTTAAGGAAATCACCCTGAAAAACGATTTCTCTAGAAATTTCAGAATTTCAACGATCTTCGGCTTTTTGACAGTTGGAAACTGAGAATACGATTTAACGATGGTAATGAACGTTTAGAGAATAACATTTCCAAAAAATTTCATACCTGAAATTGATAATATGAACTTTTTAAAGAGGGTTAAACATGGCATTAAATTTGTCTATTGGGAAACCTGGCCGATCGGTTTAGAACCACTTCCTTGACATGTACTTACTCAAAATTTTTAAATTAAGTAATTTTTGTTTAAAGTATATTTTTTGGTACCAGTGTAATAGCACATGAAAGTTAAAAAAATGTTAATGAACAAATTTTTGAAGGTATTTAGGTGTACTTAGAAGCCAATTTTCGAGACGTCAAAGGCTTTGTCTCAGGTTTTCATGGTTTTCGTTGCCACGAACAATTTTTTTCATCAAACCATGCACGGTAATCAACCTTCATTTGTTTTTTTGGTGTCTCTCGTGAAAATGCGGTGGCAATGTTGATAAAAATTGCAATGTGCCGGGGGGAAAAAAAATTCTGATTTTTTATGTGCAAAGTGATGTTTAAAAGAGAAAAAAGGTGCGCAGTGAAAAGTTCATTAAATTAAATATAAAGTAGGGTAATCCCAGTTTGCTGTAAAACCTTTTAAAGGGGTCTTAACACTGAATTTTGTTTTTAGAAAAGTAAAAAAAATTTGATAAAATTTGACTTCTTAGGTATTTTTGAGATTTTATCCCTTTTAGATGAGTTTCAAAGTTAACGTGAATGGTGTTACTGAAAAGTATGTTAAATGGTCCTGAAAAGTGTGTTTAACATCCTTTTATGTGATAATATTCGCCACTAATAAAACTTCCTCCTGGATCAAAAATGACATTTTATCCAAAAAAAGTCCGCTTTTAGCTTCATTTCTTTGATTTTTAAGCATTTCAGAAGTGTCCGATCACAAAACACTGCAACTACGTGAAATTACATAAAATTCACAATAAGTAACGGCATGGTGTTTTAAAAATTTTGATCATTTTTTAGTTTGACGCAGCTCTGTATAAAATTGTAAAAAATGGCAATGTTTACAAAAAGTTCAGTTTTAATGCAAAACACCATCCCTCAAAAGGTCATACCAATGCAGCAAATATTCCATCAATCGTGTAAAGATATTTAAATTATTTCCGGAGCGAAGAAATTAATGAAAGTAAAATAAAATAAATATAAAATAACAGGAGGGGATACTGACCCCCCTCTCACTCCATGCTTTCTACAAAGAGAGCAAATAGACCGAACCGCAATTCGGAACTAACAGATACTTCACACATACAATGTGAAGACAATTTTCATCGTATTTATGCATGCACTCGCGTGAAAATAAACGAATAGGACAGAGAATGGCAAAATCTGTACATTTAAGGGTATTTAAAATTATTGCAGAATGGAACATCACTTATGAAGAGAGTTGCGATGCGAGCCCAGCCGCCGGCGCAAAGCGCTTTACGCGAGGGATTGGGCTGTGGAACGGCAGCATCTGGGAGCGGGTCTTTTTGCGTCGGAGGAATCAATAGTAAAACTAATAATCAGGATAAATTCAATACAACATTGAAGGTTTGGAAATTTTGGGCGGCCAATTCTGGCGTTAGCGCAAACCAACAATAAACAATAAAAAATCAGTAGCTACGAGGGTAATCCAAAAAGTAAGGTGCCCGACCTTGTATCTTCTGAACGAAAAGAGATAAATCAAATTGGTAAGTAGACACTTATTAGGTATACTCTAAGCTTTTAAACAAGCCCAAGTTTTTGAAAATCGACCAAGGGGTAGTAGGGTAAAAACAGGAATTTGAGCACAAAAGTTTTTAGCCAAATTGTGCAGAAAAATATGAATTAAATTACAGCGTTGTATAGGGATTATTGTTCAATATGGCAACGCTGTAAAAAGAAAGTATTGCATGTTGCCCCTTCAATATGCGGGTTATGCAATCGTGTAATAATGCCCCTTCATTTTTCGGGTTATGCAATGGTNGCTCAAATTCCTGTTTTTACCCTACTAGGGGTTCGCGAGAAAACTCAATTTTATTGAGACAACCTCCTGTTGCCGCGTACCCACCTCCGAGGTCAGGAGGACAGTCGATTATTTCAGACTCGGGTATTCGCCTCTAGACATCACATCAAAAAAGAATTTCAAAGTTTTCATTGAGAAGGTCTGAACTTAATTTTTGACGCAGTCTCCACATCTTTTTTGATATTTCTGGTATCATTGCAGCAGCTTCGCGATGCCGTCCGCCTAAAAGCTCTCGCCTTGGCTCCGAAACCAGTCATTGACAGCGATCTGTACCTCTGAATCGTTTGCTTTGCGTCGGGAAATTTTCCCCCAAGCCTCCATACTCTCTTAATTTAGCCGTATGTGACTTTCATCTGTTACCGAGCGGAAAATATTACTTGATGAAAAACGATTGCCAACCGATTCAGAGGTACAGATCGCTGTCAGTGACTGGTTTCGGAGCCAAGACGAGAGCTTTTACGCGGACGGCATCAAGAAGCTGCTGTAATGTCAAGAAAGATGTGGATACTACGTCAAAAAGTAAATTAGGACCTACTCTAAAAATTTCCTATTTGACTAAATTTCTTCTTGATGTGATATTTAGAGGCGAATACCCGAGTCTGAAATATTTGAGCATCCTGAGCATCCTCCGCGCATCCTGACCCCAGTGGTGGGCACGCGGCGACAGGTTGTCTCAGTAAAATTGAGTTTTCTCGCGAACCCCTTGGTCGATTTTCAAAAACTTAGGCTTGTTTTAAAGCTTAGAGTATGCCTAAGTTGTGTCTACTTACCGATTTGATTTATCTCTTTTCATTCGGAAGATACAAGGTAGGGAACCTTACTTTTTTGATGGCCCTCGTATTTTATTTCATTACTCAGCTTTGTATTTGTGTCAATTAAATATTTGACGTTACTAAAGAAATTGCAGTTTCATATTTATACCCTCAATTAAGGGGCTTGGAGGAAAAGGCGCATAAGTGCAGTTTTTGCTATTTTCAGAGAGACTGGTTTGTCAAAATTAGCCATAAGATGACATAAGACTGCGCCCACTTCACAAGGTGAGGCATTAGTGTTTACAAAAATGAGTTTCTGCGGGTCATAAATTGTTAATACAGGTTTTTCAACTATTTTTTGTTTTCTGTACGTAAGAAAAGGCTTCATCACACGTGAGATTTCCATTCAAAGGACCCTGCACACGCCTAATGGGATTGTACCACAATCGATTTTTAATAATGTTTTTATTGTTTTAAATTCGTCAATGGATGTCGATCAAAACTCATCATTGCACCAACTCTCTACGAGCTACCGTTTTTGCAAAGCATGCTAGGTATTGAAGTTTCGATAATTTCTAGGACAGGTCGGCTAAAATTAAAACGCAGTGAGTGTCTGTCTGGTAAGGACAATAGAGTGAGAGAGAGAAAGAAACTGATTAGAACGGTGGAAAGAAAAGGCGTGTGGGATCGGAGATAAGACTGTCACTCGGATGCTGATCGGTTTTTCTGTTTACGTGACTTACACGCACCGCCCGACCGACCCAAACCATACTCGATGTGCTGAAGTGAGGGATCACTTCTCGCGGATTGTGCCAAAATGGTGCCTCGTAGAAAGTTGGATCTATCTTCAGATGTGTATTCAGAGGTAAGAACTTAACCGTTGCCTGAGAAACCAGCAAACAAATCATTTGACGAATTAGCCACACTCCCCAAAGAAACTTATGGACCAAGCGAGATCCCTTTCTCCAATTTTCTAAATTAAAATAGGAGGTAAGATTCTGAAGCACCGCAATATAGTTTTGATTGGTTTGCGTAACTCTATCAAAATGCTACCTGTTGAAAGAACAATAGCAGTAGAAATCGTTGTTCCAAAATACTCACGTCAGAGGCACGACAGTGGATGATGCAGTAGAGAAGACCACAAAACTGATTTACACAGCCCTCCTACAATGTTCACTTCAAAATTCATAAATTTACGATTTTCAGTTACCCGACTTAGCGTTTAAAAATTTGAGGCTAACTTATCAATAACAGTATAGCAGTTTAATACATCTT